AGTGTATTTCTGTGGATGTCTGTCTCTGCTTCCATCAGCCACTGGATGAGGGCTCTAGGATGGCATAAAGAGTAGTCATCAATCTCATTTTAGGGGAAGGGCTTTTAGGTTATCCTCTCCTCCATTGCCTGGATTGTCAGATCGTGTCATCCTTGTAGGTCTCTGGAGATCTCCCTGGTTCCAGATCTCTTCTCAGACCTATAATGGCTCCCTCTGATATGGTATCTCTCATCCTGCTCTCTCTCCTCTATTCTTCCCCCAACTCAATATTTCTGCTCCTCTATTTCCTCTCCTCTACTCCTCTTCTCATGCTGAACTGGGGGATTTTCAAAGTTCAAAGTAATAATGAGAGAGAGAGAGAGAGAGAGAGAGAGAGAGAGAGAGAGAGAGAGAGAGCTCAATGAACACCTAGTACTATTCATTAACCATCTATATATTTATTTATTTAAATGAAAACTAATCTAATTCTGTGCAGGTGCAGATGTGTTGCAGAGTAAGTGGGGAGAGTAACTGTCTAGGTCCCAAGAGTGTGAGTTTCTATGTCTCTCTTATTTGTCTGTAGAGGGTATTTGATGACAAGTTTGATCATTGTTCAGCATGGCTGCTGAATGGTCCCTACTCAAAGCTAGCTGGTACTAGATGAAGAAGAAACCTGCAGCTAACCTTACTAATGTGAACATGGAAGAGAAATGGGGAGGGACTCTGATCATGACTGTCTCAGTGCAAACGCAAAGCTTCCATGCTCAATATGCCCTTCCCTGGTAACACATCAGCCGAGTTATCTGGCAAGATGCCTGGGATTTTCCCAAGCAGGTGGCGCCACTGCTGCAGTGTGTGCAGGACACAATGTTGATTGTGCAGGGTGTTCGTGGAAGCCTGTGGGTTTCCTCTTAGGTGACAACGTTTGCTGGGAGGGATAGGCTTTTATTTTTTTTTTTTTTTTGTACAGAGTTTCACATTCTCTCTGTCATCTTGCTGCTGGGATGAAAATATCACTGTTTCTACAGCTTAGCATTGAGGTCTGGAGACACTGGATGTAGTCAGGTCCTGGGCATTGGCCAAGATCTAAACAGAATAGAGAATCTAAGCAGTCCAGGAAAATGATTAATAAAGATTCCAGTTTGTATGTGAATATGCTAGAATGAATGCAGTTTAATATTGCATGTATAGCAAGAGGCTAAGTTAGGC